AGGTTTTAAATATGGAGAAATCTTAATGAGGCAAACTATTGACAAATAAGTTGGCAATACAAAGATTTAACATTTACCGATTGAAGTCAACATTTTAAAAATTCTGTGGATTATACATGGTTGTTCACACGAATGTTTTATACAGAATTTTTAGACCGTTATTTTTATTTTAAACTGAATGTAATTGCGTTCACCAGATCATGATAAGGAGGACACAGAGAGATTGACCCGTCAGCAGGGATGCATATTGATAAAAAAATCCTATAATTATGTTTTTATTTGACTGATTACTGTTCCATCTAACACACCGTTCTATTCGACGAATACGACTAATGAACCAGTTAAACGAGTCTTTGCATTTTCCAAAAGAGGGTAATTTGTGGAGAAGTACATTATAATTCGACATATCAAAAGTGCTTTGCTTAGCAACTGTCAATATTTGTAATCATTTTTAGCTCACCTGAGCCGAAGGCTCAAGTGAGCTTTTCTGATCACATTTTGTCCGTCGTCCGTCCGTCTGTCTGTCCGTCTGTAAACTTTTCACATTTTCGACTTCTTCTCAAGAACCACCAGGCCAATTTTGACCAAACTTGGTACAAAGCATCCTTGGGTAAAGGGGAATTTAAATTGTTAAAATAAAGGGACATATCCCCTCGCAAGGGGAGATAATCAAGAAAAGACAAAAATAGGGTTGGGTCATTAAAAAATCTTCTTCTCAAGAACCACTGGGCCAGTAAAACTGAAACTTATGTGGAAGGATCCTAGGGTAGTGAAGATTTAAAATTGTTCAAATCATGACCCCCGGGGGAAGGGCGGGGCCACAATGGGGAATCAAAGTTTTATATAGAAATATATAGGAAAAATCTTTGAAAATCTTCTTCTCAAGAACCACTGGGCCAGAAAAGCTGAAATTTATGTGGAAGCATCCTGGTATAATGTAGATTCTAAATTGTTCAAATAATGACTCCCGGGGGAAGGGCGGGGTCACAATGGGGAATCAAAGTTTTACATAGAAATATATGAGAAAAATCTTTGAAAATCTTCTTCTCAAGAACCACTGGGTTATAAAAGCTGAAACTTATGTGGAAGCATCCTGGTATAGTGTAGATTCTAAATTGTTCACATCATGACCCCCGGGGGAAGGGCAGGGCCACAATGGGGTATCAAAGTTTTACATAGAAAGATATAGGAAAAATCTTTGAAAATCTTCTTCTCAAGAACCACTGGGCCAGAAAAGCTGAAATTTATGTGGAAGCATCCTGGTATAATGTAGATTCTAAATTGTTCAAATAATGACCCCGGGGGAAGGGCGGGGCCACAATGGAGAATTAAAGTTTTATATAGAAATATATTGGAAAAATCTTTGAAAATCTTCTTCTCAAGAACCACTGGGCCTGAAAAAATGAAGCTTATGTGGAAGCATTCTGGGGTAGTGTAAATTCTAAATTATAGGCATCATGACCCCCGGGGGAAGGGTGGGGCCATTATAGGGAATCAAAGTTCTACATACAAATATAAAGGAAACATCTTTGAAAATCTTCTTCTCAGGAACCACTGGGCCAAAAAAGCTGAATCATATGTGCCAATGGAAGGATCATGGAGTAGTGTAGATTTTAAAATGTCTAAATTATGATCAGTGGGATAGGATGGGGATGCATTATGTATAACAAGGTGGAAATTTGTTAAAGAACAGAATGGTCAAAGCTTCTCAGGTGAGCGATGTGGCCCATGGGCCTCTTGTTTATTATACTCTGAAGAACTTTATTGCACGAATGCTTGGATCTAAAGCCAGTGTGTTTTAGCTCAACTGAGCTTTTCTGATTACATTTCATCTTTAGTTCGTCTGTCTGTCTATCTGTCCACCAGTCTGTAAATTTTCACATTATCGTCTTCTTCTCCAGAAACACTTGGTCACTTTCAACCAGACTTGCCATCAAGTATCCTTGGGTGAAGAAAATACAATGTACAAGTTTGTTTAAATGAATCATGCCTTCATTCAAGGGGAGATAAGTGAGAAACAGTGAAAATTTGGGAGCATTGCATGTTTAAAAATCTTCTCAAGAATTACTTTGCAAGAAATGAATTTTAGGAGACCTTATTTGCATAGCGTAAATTTAAGTTTGTCCAAAGCAAGAGCCCTTGGGTAGGGTGGGTCATGTTGACGGATCAAAATTTTACACATAAAAACATAGGATAAAATATTTCAAAACCTCCAGAACAGCGAAGTTTATATTGAAGCATTCTCAGCTAGTTTCAACTCGTCACCCCCTAGGGCCACCACCTTCAGATAGTGTATATTCAATTTCGTTCAAATCATAACCTCGGGAGTAGAGTAGGGCCACTCTTGGGGATCAAAGTTACAATGAAGCGCATTGAAGTGGTAAAATTTCCCGTTTGAATGGAACATTTTGAGCTATCTTTAGAACGTTGATTGTTATACAATGACACGCCCATTTCTTTAGAAAAGAAAAATCGGTGAAATGATTCATTCGAATACCTGTAGAACAGGTATTCTATAAATATAATATCCAATCAAATTGACGGTCTACATAAACACCGAGTAAGCACGTGTTCAACCAATACATGTGTTACGGTGAATCCAATAAACATGATAAATTCATAATTATGGACAATTTCGTTGCAATATGTGTTTTACAGAAGCTGAAACTCTCTAAATCTCTCTTATAACTTTAAAAATCTCCATTTCAGTGAAACTCATGTTGCTTGTCGCAAAGAGTGGGGTGTCCTGAAACATTGCGACGAACATTTCGTGTTCGTTTCTAAAGAAATGGGCGTGTCGTTATGTTATAATTGACGTTCAAAACATGACTCAGAAAGTTCCGTCCAAAAGGAAAATTTAACCACTTCAATGCGCTTCATTGTATACACGTGAAAAATCTTTTAAAATCTTTTATTATCAAGAAATGCAAAGCCATGATCAATCATAAAACTCCTGATGATATCATTAAAACTGGTAGAGTTTTAATCGGTGTTCTGTTATTTTTTTATATATATATATATATATATATATATATATATATATATATATATATATATATATATATATATATATATATATATATATATATATATATATATTTATATATATTAGGGAAGTCAACGAGTACCCGGTTAACCGGGTACTCGATCGAACGTCCGAGTATCGAATACTAAAATCGGTACTCGGTTACTCGAATGTATATTTTTATATATTTCTAAGTTTATTTTTTAATGCATTAAAACATCGGTTTTAAAACGTAAAATGTTCATTGCACTTGTAAATACAGTAATTAGGGTTTCCTGTACCTCTAAATGACCGTTATCGCCTGTGGCAGTGTTGATACAGTAATTACCGTGACCAAGCACCTGTTACCTGGCTTTTCTCATCTTCGGCTGTCTTCTCCCCTTATGTTTAGTTTGTTTTAATTATTTGTTTTCATTGAACATCGTTTAAGGTCTTTATTATGTTTAAATATATTTGATAATTTTGTCAATACAATTCTCCAAGAAGCCGTAAATTCTCGGGGAAAGAGACAGACGATATTGCACGTGCGATTATTGATATGGATGCGTTTGATTACATGCCAATTAATGCAAATGGTTGAAGGCAAAGGCTTTAAAAGTCTATTGTCCATCGTTGCACCAAACTATAACATACCGTCTCGTAATTTTTTGAAATCTGGGATCGAAAAATGTACGAAGATCGTAAATCAGCTGTGTCATAGGAGAACTTGATCAAGTTGATACTGTAGCTCTGACGATTGATCACTTGGACGTCAAAAGCAACCAAAGAGTTACATTACAATTAGGGAACAGATTATTTTTTCAAAAAACAAAACCACTGTGAACCATTTATGATTTTATTTCTCGTATTTATCTGATAAATAAATTGAACTTTAAAAAATTGTTATATTAATTTTCGTCGGGCACAAAGTGGTCATAAATGTAACAACACATTTACAGGTAAACCTCCCATCAGACCATTTATGTTTTATTTCTACAAGAGTTTGCAATGTTTTACAGTTATCAATTAACTTCATATTTATTTAGACTTTTACCGAGTACCCGGGTACTCGATCGGAAAAACGTCTGAGTAATCGAGTATTAAAAATTGACCGATTTGACATCCCTAATATATATATATATATACTGTAGAAGTACTTTTTTCCGCATGGTATTAATTTACGCTATGTACGCGGTCAAAAATAATCCGCGGAAATTTGTCCAAGCGTACTTAATATAAATGTAAGGCATATAGTGACAGTGAAGAAAATCCGCGTAATTTTCTACCCACGGATTAAACAGAAATTGAAATTTCGCGGAATTATGACCCCGTGGAAAAAAGTACGTCTACAGTATATATATATATATATATATATATATATATATATATATATATATATATATATATATATATATATATATATATATATATATATGTGTGTGTGTATATATATATATATATACCACACTTTAACTTAGGGCATAAGGTTAGAACAGTTGAATCTAGGGGGCTTTCATATCTCACATGTTTATTCATTCTGACAAGACCTTTCAGCTGGCATAAATATTTTGACCTTAACCTAAGAATTTTACCCACTTTTTGAAAACTTTAACCTGGGTCACAACTTGTGAACAGTTAAAACTAGGGCTTTGGTATTTCATAAGTATATTTTTTGTAACAAGACCTTCCTTTTGGTACCAACAATTTTGACTCTTTGACCTTGACCTGAGTTTGAGAGAATTAAACCTTTGCTATAAGCTGAAGTACGGGATCATCAGTGTTTCACAAACACATCTTGTTATGAAGTAGGAGAAATCCTACTCGTGGTTAGGCTGGCACCAGAATGAGATTTCCTCTTGGGAAAACTTCTTCTCTAGAATACAAAGTCTGGAGGAAAGTTAAAGTGGCTTTAGAGGCCAAATCATATTACGAGAAGTGTGGAGACGTATACGCTTCCGTAGATAGGTGATGCTTAGAACTCAAATGTTTCTTTCAGACTTTTCAGCCATGAATTGTAAGAACACCAGAAAAGGGCTAGAATATCGAGGAACGACATCCGTGACCAGATCAGGTCGAACATGTCAGAGATGGGATAGCCAGTACCCTCACTATCATGCTTTCTACATACTTCCCAGTAGTAATGAAAACTTCTGCAGAAACCCAGACAGTGATTCTAGGCCATGGTGTTATACTACTGACCCGCAGAAGAGATGGGAGTACTGCGATGTACCAGTTTGTGGTAAAAATTAAAAGTCAATGGTTAATATATTTATTTTACAACTGATAAAAAGGTCAGTTTTGAGCTTTTTAAAGGTTCAATGAAGTCCTTTGAAGTGCTCTCTATCCCCCAGTCATCTGTTTACGAATATTACTCCTGTATCAGAGTTTCATAATCGAGTGTAATATTGTCGCCAGTTGCCGAATCTATATTAATGTTTTAATAAATTTTGCAAATAAACTCCGAAACAGCAGCACAAAACTTCTAACTTATTCCTATAGAAACAAACTTGTTAAAAGGTGATGTCCGCAAACTATCGCATAGTAATTATCATGAATTTAATTAAAAGTGTACTTTCATTTTCGGTAAACAGCCACGAAAAAGAATATTTCATGAAACATTATTAATGAATTATGCAGCCAAAATATGATTTGAATGATATAAAAGGAATAAGTTGTGATTATTGATTAAGAAACAAAAAGTGCGAATTCTTTTCGTGTATGTCCGATCTCGCTCTATATTGAAAGTTCTAGAAAGTCGGATTACATCGAAGCCGATGTTGAAAAGAAAATCAATATGATTATTATGAATTGAAATAAAAAAAATTGTAAAGCATTTGGTAATACAATGAGTTTAAGAATATATCGATATTTTGAAAATAAGTTGTGTTATAAACTTACAAAATTACTGGCTAAGATTATTTGTTTCAATATATAAACAAATAAAAAATTCGTGTGCTTTAATTTTTACTTTTATGAAGCTTGTGAGAACTAGCAATTGTTTTGATAAAACGAGATTCAAACTCATTACAAGGATATAACTAATTTTTAAATCATGAGTTAAAAATTAGGTCAAACTCCCAGGTCATGGTCAAACTGTCGGTATCCATTGTCCAAAGAAAGAATTACACGTGTTAAGTATGAAAACCAAAGCAACAACTATTCATTTTCGACGAAAACAAGAAAAAGAAAATTTATTAACTTGAGAAAATTTATTCGCCTTTTCATATAATTCCAATATTCTCTAACGGACTAACCCAAAAAAAAATGCTGCAAACTCGATTTTTTTCTTTAGAAAGTACTTATGTAATTTTTTCCTTTGTTTTCTTACTTTGGCATTTGTATAAAGAAGTGAAGAAATGTTTGTGGAATATTTACTGCTTTGCAGTCAAAAATTGTAAATGGGACACACAAGGACTACAATACAGAGGGAAAACCAACGTTACCAAATCAGGTCGAAAGTGTCAGAGATGGGATAGTCAGTACCCTCACGGACACAGCGACACCGACCGTCTTCCAGGAAATGCTAGCTTAAACGAAAATTTCTGCAGAAACCCAGATCGTGATAGCAGCCCATGGTGCTATACAACTGACCCGTTGAAGAGATGGGAGTACTGCGATGTACCAGTTTGTGGTAAAATTTATAAATAGAGAATAATGCATGGAAAATTTCTATCACACTCCAATTCAACCCGAGGGGTGCATATCATTACCGCGACATTTTCGAAATTTTGATTACCTCTACATAGTCATTACCGCTACAAAAAACGTTACATCACTGATACGTAAAATAGTACACATTACCGCTACATTGCCTCTTTCATTAGCCAGGCACTTGTGCGTGTACAGTACAACCTTTACATGCATAAAACCCGGTTCCCCTGCTCACCACGGGAAGGTGGAAGTAGGACTTTGAGCAGAATATTTTTTTTGTCAAATGTTTAAACACTATTGGTAAAGCCTTGAAAGCCATTTGCTTGACATATTGTTGCCTTGTTATTTCCCCACTGTCGTATTTACCTTTCAGTTCCCTTTTTCGTGCTGTGTTGTTTTTTTTTTGTCATTCATATTTTTTATTTCTGTCATTAAATGCATCATACAAACATTACAAAGTTACAATATAGTGGAAAAAGGCAAATATTTATACATAATAGACATAAAGTGCTTCCATTGAACAATTTTTTAAAAAAGTACAATAATATTTATTACTTTTCTGTATCTTATCTTCACTGACTGAGAAATGTTTTCAAAAATTCTTTGCTTGATCATGTCTGCTTTTTTATAAGAAAGAGAATAGGAGGAAAAAAGCTCTATAGTTTTATAATATTTAAGTACTTCCAAAAAAGCAAGAAAAGAGGGCGTTATATTTTTCCATTTACAATGCATTATATATTGCTTTGCAATTAGAATGATTATGTTCAACGATCTGAAAGCAGTTTTGCTACAACTATTATATCCAAATATTATTTCTTCAGGTGTAAATTCAATTATTAAACCACACGTGTTACGAAGTTTATCTCTTAAATTAGACCATAAAGTAATTGAAAAAGGACACAAACATATTAGATGGATAAGTGTTTCTTTAGTATCATGACAAAAGGAACAAAGTTCTGTTTCAGCTAATTTACATTTCATAAGTTTGCTATTTGTAAAAAATATCTGATGTAAAAGCTTAAACTGAAAGCATCGAAGTTTAGTGTCCTCTGTTATTAAATAGGGTAAAGAGAATGAATTTTTCCATTTATTTTCAGGAATATGTATTGAAAGTTTTTCCTCCCATTTTCTTAAAGCCATTGAAGGGGACTCTGCTATCTTTTCAACAAAAAAATGATAAAAGTATTTTGTGACTTTAACGTTTCTTTGAAGTTTTAAAATATTTTCACTTTTAATTTCATTCAGCTTTTGATGATTTCTAATTATTTGCTTCCAATGTTTAGGGATTGCTGATAGTAATCCGGTATATTCCACGAAATTTGTATTTAACATGTATTTATTATTAAATTGGTTAAAATTCATGAAATCGCCATTTTCCGTAATTAAATCATTGATGAAAAATATGCCATTGGTAATCCATTTTCGCTTAAACACATATTTTTTTCCGACTTTGATATCATTATTTAGCCATAGTGGTTGACTAAGAATTTCGCAAGGGGCTGTGGTAGAGTTTTGACTAGCCTTTCCCCAAGATATTAATACACTTTTCCAGAATGGATTAAATTTACTTGTAATGGTTTCTAAACCTTCATTTCTAAAATACCACATTTTGTCGTTTCCGAATTTTTGTGTCGTGTCTGAGAGCAAGAGTTTCCAAGGCGAATGAATATTAGGGTCAAGTATTTTCTTGACCCATGATATTTTCAAGGCTTGGCAGAAAGATGCTAGATGAGGAACCTTAAGCCCTCCGTTTTCTGTTGAATTATATAGAACGTTGCGCTTGATCTTGTCTGGTTTGCCTTCCCAGATAAATTCAAAAAACATATTTTGAAGTTTCTTTAAAAAATCTGAAGGTGGGTCTGGAAGAACAGTAAAAAGTTGAACAAAAATTGGTAAAACCAGTGTTTTGAGCACAGTGACTTTTCCGATCAATGTGAGGTTTCTAAAAGACCAGTCATTGGTAAGCTTTTTGGCAGCTTGTAACTTTTCCTCATAATTATCATAAGTGATATCCGGTTTGTTTAAGTCAAAAGTTATACCTAAGAGTTTAAATTTACCGTCATGGTTCCACATTATTTTTTCTTTTGTCTTAATCTCTTGACCACAGCCCCTTTTTGCACCAATCCATAAAGCTTGTGTTTTTTCGAAATTGGGTTTTAGCCCGGAGCAAGCAGCAAAGGAGTTTATGCATTTTAGTGCTAAGTTCAGGGATTTTTCATCATCTTCGAGCGCTAGAGAAGTATCGTCTGCATATTGGCACCTTTTCTTCCCTTATTTGCTTTAACTCATTTTCTGTTAAAACAATTTCTAATTTATTTTCCTCTGAAAGAGGCTTTTCATATAGACTTTGTAATTTTTTCTCAAGTTCTGACTCCGTTTTATCTCTACCGCGTTTCTTGAAAGAGGTATATGATATGGTTTTGCCTCTAATCATTAATTTCAAAGTTTCCCAAAGTAATTGATCATTAATTGTACAGCTATTATTTGTTTCATATTGTGCAATAGTTTCTGAAATACATTCTTTAATACTTTGGACATAGGTTTGATCGTAGAGTAAACTATTATTAAATTTCCAGCTACCTTTTCCTCGAATTTGGTTTGAGAACTTGAAGGAAATTTCAATGAAAGAGTGGTCAGACTTGTACGCATACCCTATGTCGGTCTTCACCGTACAAGGTTGAAGGTCAGCGGAGATTAAGAAGTAATCTAATCTAGCTTGCTTACTCTTTGGGCCATGCCATGTGAATCTAGATATATCTGGGTTATATTCCCTCCATACATCAACCAGATCTAAATCTGGTATCATTTCTAAAATTTTTTCTCTGGCGTTAGGATTATTTTTGTGCTTGTAGTTGCTAGTATCTTTTTGATAGTCTAAGGGCACGTTAAAATCTCCTCCGATTATAATAGAGTCATTTCCAATAGCTTCTATCTTACGGTGAATTGAAGAATAAAAGTTTGGATTATCCTCATTTGGGCCGTATAAAGCAACTAAGGTTATTTTTTTATTAAAACATTTTAAATCTAAAATAATGAAATTCCCATCTGAGTCAATGATTTCTTTACATATTTCAAATTCAAACGAGTTTTTAAATAAGATCGCAACTCCCCTGCTGCTGCTACTATTTGAACTAAACACCCCTTTAAATCCCCATTCAGTTTTCCAAATGGTTTGCGTTTCCGTCGAGCTATGTGTATCTATAAGGAAAGTAATATCAAATTTATCTCGACATCTGTTAAAAATATCCCTACGTTTTATATTATTTGAAGCAAGTCCCCGACAATTCTGGCAACCAATTTTTAAATCATTCATAAAGTAACAAAAAGAAGATGAAAAGATTGTTTGTTATTTCTTCAGTCAGTCTGAAAATTGTTTGTATATACATGTAGACAGTTTTTATAGTATAAAACCCTCCCACACACTGATGTAAACACCCTCCCATCCAAGAGAAAAAAAAACTTCCGGATTTTAAAGCCCCTGGATATCAAAAAATGACACACTGTACATTAAGTATATTTCACACTCTTATATTAAACAAAACGATATGAGCATAAAATATTTAAATCAATAGTTATCTAGTTGTATCGGCGGTTACGACTCAATTGTCATTCTCAAGATAGCACCGATATTTATCAATGAAAAGGCAGGTCAGAATTCCGTAACTGAGCGAATACACATCTTGTCAGTTGTAAACACGGGTATCGGGGTCACTGAACCGGACAATCTATTTTTTGAGTTTCACGAAGGGGAAATCTTTTATGTACACAAGTTTTGTCTTACTTCTAGCCTCCGGTGGCATTGCGAATCTCTCCTTTAGGAGTTTGGCTCTCAGGTCGCTTATTTCCCTAGGGAGATCAGGTGATATCCCATATCCTGAACCCTTCTTTAGCTTTCTTGCCCCCTCAAGAACCTCATCTCTATCAATAAGACTGCTAAATCGAACGATAATGTTTCTTTTCCCTTCTGGTCCACCTGGCAGGCGATGTACAGCTTGCAAAATCACCCCGTTTGCAAATGACTCCTCAAATTTAAGAACACCATTCAAGAATTGTCTCACCTTCTTTTCTGTTTCTCTTGGTCGTTCATCATTTGACCCTTCAATCCCCCGGACAACCAAATTCCATTTTCTGCCCCACATTTCCAGCTTGAGTCGTTCGATTCGTTCACCCTTAAGTGCCTCTTTTATCTCCGGAAAAGACGTTTGATGAATGTCTGAAATGTCCTGATTAAGGTTTTCACATACCGTTTCTAGGTCACCAACACGTTGCTTTATGTCCTGGATTTCTCCTCGAACACCCTTAATTTCCATGGACATAATAGCAAAGCATTCTGCAAGATCTTTTCCCTCAAATTGTTTTTTTAATTCATCCAAACTGTGATTATAATTTTCGGATGGGCTATTGTCTACTTCCATTTTAGGGGCACTAAAAGTGAACTCCTTGGCGGCCATTAATAGAACAAAATCGTGCGTGACGGGTAGTACTTAGTGAAGCTAGATTATAGGAACAATAGGTTTGGACTTGACTTGCTTCCTTAAAAATCTCTCATAAAAAACGATTGTTAATTAAATACTACACATTTTGGCCTGACAGACGTGTGAAAAGTTATTTACAATAGAAATATCCCAGGAGCTCCAAAAACACCACTCACCCCGCCATTCATCAACCGGAAGTTTTCTCGTGCTGTGTTGTTATTCTCCTTTCGTCCTGGGAGAATCTTGTTTCTTACAGCACGCATTTTCAAGTAACCTTTTGTCTGAACTGACTGAATCTTGGCCAATAAATCAAAAATGTTCGGATGTGAACTATAAGACGTGCTGAACTCTTTATGAAAACAGTTACTGAGTATATATACTCAGTTATTCTGATTAGATAGTAAGTGAATTCTGTTAATTAGAACTCATATATACCGAATCATACCAGGCTAAATCGATATGTAGCGGTAATGAGTTGTTTTTGGCTGATTCAATATGTAATGGTTATGAGATGTTTTCGGCCGGGAAAATGTAACGGTAATGATCGGCTGAAAATTTGAAGAAATGTAGCGGTAATGAGTTGAAATTTTTGGCAATGTAGCGGTAATGTTGACTTCCCAGCCCGAGACTGTAATATCAACCTAAGGGCCGAAGGCCAGAGGGCTGATATTCGTCGAGGGTTGATATTGGGTGTGATACAGATTTTGTCATGTATTGTTCTATCCCCTGCTTGAAAAGCGGAGGGAATATAATAATCGAGATGTTCGTCTAGCTGTCTGTACGTCCGTCCGTCTGTTACACTTTGGGGTACTCCTCTCTTATCCGCAACTCCTCTCATACCACTGAATGAAATTTGATGAAACTTCCAAAGACTTTTTACTACATATTGCCATTATGCACAACCTATTTTACTTTTTGATCCGACACATTTTTGGGTTTCCCATGGCAAAACATGGACACCGCCATTATATTCCTGTTGGAGGCGGGGTATAATTGATATAATTGAATGTCTCTCGTCTAAACAGACCATAAGTTTTATCATCCTGAAGAATCTAAATTATAGAGTAGAAAATAGTTATCAAACACCTTGTATTCCCCTACTCTGCTCCGATTCCATACATTCAAAATATGTCAACAAACAACTTGGACGTCATCGTTAGAATCTTTTGTTTACCCATCTCGCATATTCAGCAATTGTAACCATTTTTTAAGACCACTGTAATTTCATTCGAAGGGCAACAACACAGTTGTAACTGTGAATGCTTGCTTAAGTTATTTCATTGTCATCTGAAGAGAGACATCACGAATTGTCACACCTCACGTGACATGCTCTAAACCAATAAGATTTTCTGTATGATTCTGAAGAATAATAAAATAACATGTCGAATAAAGACGTGAAATCTTTAACAAAAAATCTTAAATATCTTTCAGTTTTTTTTTAATTCATTAAAGATTGCGGCCAGCATCCAAACGAATCACTGATCAAGTCCAGACGAAGAAGAGACACCGCGGGAGGAACACCCATATTTCTGAGAATAGTTTCTGGAAACTTTGCGACCAAAGGAATGTTCCCTTGGCAAGTGGGCATTAGGAAAATCCACAATAAAACAAATACTACACCACACTGTGGAGGAACCATTCTCAGTTCATTCTGGATTCTAAGTGCTGCACATTGTTTTGAAAAGTTAGTTTTTCATATTCATAATGTAAATTTCCCTTTCTACATCAACAAGCACTACACGTGCTATCCTGCAAGTTAATTAGAAAGAAAATGTTATTGCTTTACACATATATACTAAGAGGAAAAAGAAACGCAGAAGGTACAGTTTCAATACAAATAAAGCCCAATATTTTTCTAAAATATGAAAGTGATATTAGAAATTAAAATTAATTCTTTCTGAATGATAGGAATTCTCTGCAGTAAGAATACACAAATGGTTTTTCTCATATGACCTCCTAAATGCCAATTATGACGTCATTAACTTGTTCATTTTCCCGTATTTTCTTAAAAAATTGCAAAAGACCTCAATTTTCAGTGGAATTTTCTTTCAGAAAACATACTCTGCCACCGTCGCCCGGCAAGATTCTTAGATATGTGATTTTTTATAGCGGTTTGCACAATATATCCAAAAATAAAAGCGGGCGACGGTGGCAGACACTATTTTCTAAAGGAAAATTAACAGAAAAACGAGTCATTTTGAAGCTTTTCTGCATTAAACTTAAAAATGTACCAAATTAATGACGTCATATTTTCAAGAAAGGCTCTTCTTCATGCCATATTCTTTAATGATTTATCATATTCATGTACTCAACTATTTTTTAAGCCAATTTCAAAACTTTTTAAGAACATTAAATTTTTAGGGCACAATAAAGCTTAAACCGTACCGTCTTCTTTGTATAGTGATTTAATGATATAACATAGTAATTTCAGCCTTAAAATCTTACATTCAATCACATCTTTAATCGTTTGATTTTGACCTATAATTCATGTGCTCATGAAACTCATTTGATTTAGAACTAGGTATCCCCCAAAAGTGAAAATCGAAAACTCTCATTATCTCCTCTCTTCTTGGAGCATCTTTCACAACCTCAATTCCCCTTTGCACGAAGTTTATCTTTAGATGCATTTATCCTTCTCATAGGGATTTTATTCAACCCTTCCGAAAAGGCAGTCCTTAGTTGGGCGAGAGTATCTGGGACATTCTGACGCCTTAATACCCTACCGTCCAGTTAGTCCCGTTAGTCGATCGGAAAAAACGGACTTTACGGAGGCCAGTGATGTTGTCTAATCATGTAATTTTTTGCGATTAAGTCTTTGCAAACTCATGATACATTGTGCTTGTGGCAAACATCCTGAAAATGAGACACAGGTGCCCTACCGCTCTCCTGAGCACTGTGTCTAGGGAAAAACAAAAATCAGTTTAGAATTTTAGAGTTTAGAAAAGTTTAAATGTAAAAGTGGTTCCGACCTACCTCTTAAAGAGAAAGAGAGGGTAGGGGTATGATATGAACGAAGTTCATTCTACAATAACGAAGAATTATTAAATATTTTTTGATTAACTGTGACTTTTTACCTAAAGGTTAGACTTTTATTGTGGTCAAACCCTACAACTGAATCTACACTTTCTAAGGATGCTTCCATATAAATTTGAAAAATCATGGCTTCGCAGTTCTTGAGAAAAAAATATATGTATATATATTTTTAAGATATTTCCAATATATTTCTATGTAAAACTTTGATCGTCCATCGTGGCTTCTCCCTACCCTCTGTTGTCATGATCGTCCACTGTAGCTCCACCCTACCCCCGGGGGTCATTTTTTTTTAACAAACTCAAATCTTCTCATTAGTCTAGCTGATGATGATTCTACATGAGTTTCATCTTTCCTGATCCAATGGTTCTTTTATTTTTAAAGATTTTCCAATATACTCATAGGTTAAACTTCGTTCGTCCAATGTGGTCCCATCCTATCCACAGGGGTCATGATTTTAAGAAACTTGAATCTATAAATCTATAATACTGAGGATGCTTCCAAAGGAGTTTCATCTTTCCTGACCCATTGGTTCTTGAGAGGAAGATTTTTAAAAAGATGCCATTAATTTTTCACTAATTCATACACATGTATAAATATTCCCTTTGAAGAGGGCGTGGTCCTTTATATGAACAAACTTGAATCCTCTTCACTTAAGGAAATATACATTGTGGCAAGTTTGGTTGAAATCGGTCCTGTTGTTTTGGAAAAGAAGACGAGAATGTTAAATATTTACGACAACAACAGAAAACGGACATCTTTCGATCAGAAAAGCTCACTTAAGCCTTCGGCTCAGTTGAGCTAAAATTCGGGCATAGGCATGTGCACGAGTAAGAGGAAGATCGATTTAAAGTTGACGAACCAAATATATACTATCGGTATCTTTTAGTTTATTGGTTAATGTATGCCAATGTACGATTGTCTAATGTATTAATTGCAGTTTCAAGGATATTGACCTGAAGATTACTCAAGTGACTTGTTATTAAGATGAATGGCGCCAACTTGACGTGGTATTGTTACGCGCCAACGTCACCGCCACAATTGGTTTGAAATCGTTTCAGTTCCTGTCTTACAACACATTATATTTTGGAAAAGTCTGAACAAAATGCAAGCATTTAGTCTCTTTATCCACTTAGCAATGCAATTACCAGACCCAGTGTTTGTTTTTTTTTTCGAAAGGGTGGACGGGTTACCATTTACCTACCTTTAACGGTTGAGTAATTTTAATAAAGATGTTAGTGCGCAATAAACAATATACTATTTCGGCCTTTTTTCATAATTTTCAGCCATGCAGTCAAAAAATTTTCGCAAATTACTAACTGCGTTTCTTTTTATTTTTCTTTTTACGTAAAAAATAATATTCAAATCAAAACGAGTAATACTAGTACCTAAGCTAACCATCTTCAAACATCCTGTCTTATAAGATATGGGAAATCACAACTGTTAATAAGAGTTGGCGTCTGGAACAACAAAGTACCAGATTTATACGAGGAGGAATTTGAAACAGAAGAAATTTACAACCATACTACGGAAGCGTATTAGTGCCACTTGGACACTTAACTTTTTTTTAATTTCTACACTTTAAAGTGTAAATTTTACACTTTAATCTGTAAATCTTACACTTTAATCTGTAAATTTTACACTTTAAAGTGTAAATTTTACACATTAATCTGTAAATTTTACACTTTAATCTGTAAATTTTACACTTTAATCTGTAAAATTTACACTTTAATCTGTAAATCTTACACATAAATCTGTAAAAATTACACTTTAAAGTGTAAATTTTACAAATTAATCTGTAAAATTTACACTTTAAAGTGTAAATTTTACACATTAATCTGTAAATTTTACACATTAATCTGTAAATTTTACACTTTAAAGTGTAAATTTTACAAATTAATATGTAAATTTTACACTTTAATCTGTAAATTTTACACTTTAATCTGTAAATTTTACACATTAATCTGTAAAATTTACACTTTAATCTGTAAATGTTACACATTAATCTGTAAATTTTACACATTAATCTGTAAATTTTACACTTTAAAGTGTAAATTTTACACTTTAATCTGTAAAATTTACACTTTATTTTGAACAACCTGAACTACAATAGGTTACGATTGAACGGTCGATTTGTGATGTTTTACCTCTGGCACTTGAGAAAAAGTATTAAACTGAAATGTTTACAATAATTATTATTTGTATAATTATTTTTATTTTACATGAACTCGTTCTTGCTTATTAGTATATTAAAAACAAGGATGGACTATTTCCTCATGGGTCTTGTAATTTTCTCCAGCATAAGAAATCAGGGGTCTGCTTTTGTTTCAGTATATATACATGTGTTTCTTTAGTTTTTACTATAGTGTACCGAACAGTAAAAATATATATCTCAAATATTTTTTTTATTTGCAGTTCAGATTGATATTACGCTTCCGTAATTATCTTGCATGATTAACGGTCTGTTGGCTTTAAAATGCGTTACTGGGAATGTGTGAAGTTGCCAAATTGACTATGTGAATAAACAAATAAAGTGTAAAATCTACAGATTAAAGTGTAAAATTTACAGATTAAAGTGTAAAATTTACAGATTAAAGTGTAAAATTTATACTTTAAAGTGTAAATTTTACAGATTAAAGTGTAGAAATTAAAAAAAAGTGAAGTGTCAAAGTGGCACTAATACGCTTCCGTACCATACAGAATACGATAGTAAGATTTTTTTTTATAGATATGTGTATGTGTAATGGAAAATGATCGAACTTTCATTGTAAAAACAAAACATTTAACTACAGATGACACTTCAAACAATGACATAGCCTTACTAAAAGTGAAGCCTAATAAGCGTGGCCGTGGTATATCAATGGGTTCATATGTTCAGCATGCCTGTCTGCCATCAGAAGATACAGTGTACAGTGAAAACCTGGATTGTTACATATCTGGATGGGGCAGCCTAAAAAATGGTTTGTGATAATGTGCGTTTATATAGTTCTAGTTGTAGTTAGCTGCAATAATGTAGCCCTCTCCTTTTTTTTTGGGGGGGGGGGGGGGGGGCTACAACTCCGTAGGATTTCCGTAATGGTGCAGCTGCGGAAGCAATTCGCTCCCGCACGGATTTCGGCTGAAATTGTCAGCAAATGGCTATTTTTATTAACATTTCTTACCTTGACTCCAAAAATGTAGTTATCCAAGACATAAATCAGTCCAAAAATATACAGAAAAATCCATATATCAGTTATTTTTCGTGTATGTCAACATCACAACTTAAATTTATCCGCCATGTTTACTGACCTTGACAGATTTGATTTTGGGACAGTCAATGAGATTAAGGATCTATAGGGAGCGGATTTCTTTGGAATTACCTTATTTTAAGCCTAAATAATGCTGTTTACGATAAAAATAACACATGGTATAATTTTATTTATCGATGTTTAGTGATGCTATATATCACAATTTTTTTTATAAACACCGACACCTGCTTTATTCAGTTATTCTAAATTTCAAGCGCAAGTCTCGGTACGTCACGCGTGAACTTTCATGGCTGTTGAAGATAAACACAAGATTTATTTTACATGGTTTTAGCTTTTAACGGGCTATGTTGTCGACAGTGAATAAAAATCTCCGTCTTATTAGAAGTAAGTTGAATGTAAAAACTACTTTTTCTGCCTGCAGTCGCCCGTATTTAAAAAATACTTTTGCACCATTACAGACTGTGGAATTGTAACCCTCTCCAGAAAACATCAGATTAAAAAAAATCGGAGAGGGCTACATTATTGCAGCTAAGTTGTAGTGAATCAATTGATCGGAAAGAAAAATAACTCCATATTTCATTATCTGAAATGTGTACATCATAATAAATGACTAAATGCGTCAAATATGTACCAATCGTATTGAATTTATGTTTGTAGATAGATTATAATCAAAGTACTCAGAAGTACTGAAAGCCGGGCTCATTAACAGGGTAATGAACTATGACCGCGATGACAGTTTAAAAACAAGCCGATTCAGACATTGAAAAAAAAAATTATATACGTCTGTGTCATATAAAGCATTAAAAAGATTTTAAAAATAATTAAAATATAGCTAGAATTTAACAGCGTAAAATATTTGTCACGGGTACAGTTTTGGGGGTTTATATATACCAACAAAAGTAAATAAACACTGATGCAGCAAGATTATTTAAGGTCAAACGATTATGCACAGATGTGCTCCCAGCGGAGAGTTTTGCATAAAAGCGTGTACACATCAAGTCATGAATGATGTTCCCCGCATTTCTGATAACCTGATAGAACAACCTTTATTTATAGAATATGACGCAGACAGATATACCCGGTACCTGATGAAAACCTTTTTGCAAATTTTAAGCAAATAATTATTCGTCGAAGACAATAGAAAGTATTTTCTTGTAATTGTAGTTTTTGACAGTTTCAGATAACTTTGAAAGTCAATTTCAGTGTTTGTATTGCCTCAAATGTGATTGCGCAAACATACTATATTCTTACTCGTTACTTTAATTTGGCGATGATGAAGAAGCATTTCCGGTTGAACACCGTCGCGAGGGACCGTGTGAAAACCTTTTGAACTGCTTTGTAAAATATTAGTCAAAGGAACCATATTTAAAAAATTATTATTTTGATTAAAATATTCGATTTACTATTCTTAAGGTGTTTGAATGGATTTTGTTTTCTAAAAAGCGGCTGGGCATACGTACTATATTTTTACTCGTTAACTCTATTTGGCGGTGAAGAGGCAGCATTTTCTGTTGCTCACCGTCGCAATAGCAGGGCATTGCTCTACGAGCAATGAGCTCGGCTAAAATGATATGATAAATAAAAAAAAAAATATGGAAATAACCTCGTTAACAATAACAAACTAAAGCAAAAAATGCACCTTTTTAACCAGAAAAAATGGAATTGATTTAACCTGAGTATCACTACACATTTTGAAATGATATTGGTTTAAAGTGGTCTACTCGTACATGTCGTATTTTTGAAAGACGATAATAATATAATAATATGATTAAAATATATTTTTGCACAAAACACTTCAGTATTGTGTATGAAATGCAAAGAAGCACATTTTCCGTAACATTTCAGGAATATCTCCACATCTCCTGAAATATGCACAAATTCCTATTGCAAACCAGACGATCTGCAAAGAACTTTACAAACTGAAAGGCTATAACATAACGGAAAGCATGTTTTGTGCAGGTTACTTTAATGGAGGGTCTGATACCTGTGATGGAGACAGCGGTGGTCCTCTGGTCTGTAAAGTCAACGGTAAATACTTATTTTTATCTAAAGGATATACGCAACATATTTGAAAAGTTTTGTCTTTTTCCATGGAGTTGAAGAGTTCCAGTTCTTGAATGAACTGTGTGTTGTATTTCTAATGTTTATACATGGTGTTTTACTCTTCTTCCAAAACAATTTTGGATAAAAGAAACACCTAGAATGTATGTTAAGTATTTTTTTTAATATAATTTTCTTTGAATCACCCAAGAAATTTAATCAATTGATATCTTTCAAAATCCCCTAGAAATGCACGCTGATTTTTTTTGTCTACAAACATCTTAAGACACTATAATTTAAAATCAAGAAAAACTAGTGCTAATTGTAACGGGAACCGTTACAGATGTTCCCCAAACGCTCCCCACCTCCCTTTTGGTGCCATATTCCCTGTAAGCCTTATAAAATAAGACAACATCTGTGCATTTTTGACTTTAAAAACGTTTTCCATGAAGAATACCAATTATATTCAAATTTTAACATTGCACGCGTGCGCATGTGAATGCATGTGTGTAATGATCATATCATCTTGTCTACACTTTCTATATATTTAAATATACTATATATTAAAGATTCTAGTCCAAAAGTATTAAAAAACTCTCATTCAAGTGTATTTTTAGTTTCACTCGTTCCAAATGCACGCACGTGCGTGCACGTGCATGATGATCATACCTTCTTGTAGGAGGCCCTTATATTTATCTAGATTCTATATCCCATCCTGTTTGGTTGAAAAACAAGGGAGTTATAGCCATTTTAAGTTTCAGCCAATCAGATTGCAGCGCACGTGCATGCGCGTAATTTCTTCAAATTTGTTGTATATCATATTGCAGGATATCCTAATGTATGACTATGTTTTAAATTTCAAAGCATTTCGTCAATAAGCAAAGGAGATATAGCCATTGAAAGTTTCAGCCAATCAGATTAAAGCGCACGTGCATGCGCGTGTTTTCATGAAAATTTGTATACATCAAATTGTAGCATATCGTAAGGCATGACTATATTCAAAATTTCAAAGCATTTCGTCAAAAAACAGAAAAGATATTGAGATTTTTGTTTCAGCCAATCAGAGCGAAGCGCACGTGCATGCGCGTGAGTTCGTGCTAATTTGACCATGCCATATTATCTACACTATGAATATATCTTTATGTAATGAGTTTCAAAGCATTTCATCAAAAAATGTAAAAGTTATAGCTATATTAAGTATATCAGTCAATTCACTCATTTCACGCGCACGCACGTGCAGGCGTATGCGCGCAAAATGACCTTCGTTCCGCACACCTACACTACACACCTATTAACCCTAAAAAGGTTTTAGCTCAGTTGGGTGAACAGTTTCTGAGAACACTCGCGGACAAAAAAAGTACCGGAGAAGAAATAAGAAAAAAAAAATAATAATAAGAAACAGAGTAAAAACAATATGTTCCCAAACTCCGTTTGGGGAACATAATTATCATTAGTTAAGGTACGATGCAAATGTCCTTAATAAGAGAGTATCATTTTATGCAATGTTTTGTGTCCAAATTAGCCCAAACTTCCCTTTTTAATTTGAGAATGCTTTTTATATCTTTTCCCTTTAGGGAAATACACTGTCTTGGGTGTAACTTCATGGGGACACCGCTGTGGGCTTCCAAATTTTCCAGAGGTGTATGGCAATGTAAAAAGTCTTCTGCAGTGGATCAGAGAGACACATGCTGCGTATTATTCATTGAATCTTCGGACTTTTTCAAATCCAGTTTGCTATATCTGCACAGTTACCTCAGTGGACTATTAGTTGTAAATTCTGTAACATTCCTCATCATGTTTTTCCATCATCTCAGGAATTAAGAAATGAATGTAATTTTTTTCTCTTTGATCGATGTATCAAAGAAAAAATTTGGACAAAAAACTTCATCAATGCGCGTAGATTCTATTGATGCAGTTATCAAAAGACTTTTTGTACAATCAGAATCAAGTATTGTATAGAAATTAAATGATTGAAGTGTCAACTTTATGTTTAATAAATGCAACTAATGAAAAGTGATAAGTAATGTTTTCCTCTGTTATTTGATTATATGCATTTAAGGTATATTGATATCATCGTAAAACAGTCTTGTGTTGCATACTCTCAGCATCATTGAATTAAGTGACTCCATATTGGCAATGTAGAAATGCCTTAACCTGTCTTTAAATTCTCTTGATCTTTCAGAAGAAGTTGCACATGTAGGTGGACGTAACAAACAGATTAAATGTACTGTTAAAAATAAATTTAGTGTGCTTTAACCTTAGAGGGTCTCAGGAAATGTGGATGAAATTTGGTTAGATTAATTGGCACACACACACAACCAAATATATCTTATTTTGCAATTGTTAGCATTCGATAAAACTATAACGGAATTGACCGAGTTGAATCTGCAGTGTGTATACAGAAAATAAAATCTACATTAATTCAAAGATACCATTGCAAGATAATTTAGGAATCCCTATCCGTTTTTTTTATATGCCAGTTCATTTACGACACTTGTAACGCGGGATACTAATAATTTGCATAACGGGCTCTAGGTGTTTACCTCATGTTTTCAACTGTCGTTAATATCCCTGACATTTTTATGTTCTTTGGATTTCTAAAACGAGTGAAAAAATATGTCCATGTTCACAACTATGCTATAATAAAATAAGCAACCAAATATGATACAGGAGCTCACAATGTTTTTCTTTCTTTAAAAAAATAGCTTCATAATAAATTAATGCTTAGAGTGGTTCATGTCTAGATGTAGATTAAAATTATTTTGTCTCTTACAGAGTCACTTTGTTATAGATGCATTGTAAATGTGTGTTAGAAAAATAATATTAATTTATGAAAGAAGATAACAAAAAAAAAAATATTCATAGACCTGGGAAGTATATTCGGGGGTTAGCGGTCCTTCCACAAGCACCTGTGATGTATTTAGACTAAGAATTTTTTAAGAACGTGAACCATTTTTTCGAGTGTAAAAAGAAACGGATCTAGAATGGTATGTAGGGAATGGGGTCGGAGGAGGCTCTTTTAGAAGGGCAAGTGGGGTCATAGGGAGTTATGGTATGTAGGCAGCCTTCTTCATAATAATTATGTACTTAATTCATGAGCTTAATACCCAAGAGCAGAGGAGGAGATTTTCAAAGAATTAAAGCATTTTCACTATATAATTAATGAGGCCCCGCCCTAACACTAGAACCCCTGACTTTTGGGCTAGAAAAGAAGCTACATATGTTCAAAAGTTGACGTATGACAAACGACGACGGACAAAAACAGAAAGTGATATTTCACTTCAGTTACTCAAGTACTGCTTGCTGTAATTTTGCTGCATTTTTGCAACATTTTTGAGTTCTGAAAGCTTTTCAAACAAATGAAATTATATTCATGCTCTAATTTTACAAACTATTTTACTCCCATTCTTTTGAACAGTTACAGGATCTTGAACTTGGTGACTTTCAATGCAAGCAACACTTTTTTTTTGCATCTAATCTAATTACAAACTTGCAACTTTTACTGTTTTAAAGCTATAAAACCGATTATACAATGTTCACATATATGCAAATAAGTCCATGTTCAAGAAATTAGCTAGATTTTAATCATGCAAAGTTCACATACCAAGTGTATGGATCACTTGTATTACACAGTCATTTGGAGAAACAGTGACACAGCAAACTTTTTTAAAGATTTGATGGCCAAATTCAAAGAATGCTTAAAGCTTAAAGTTTAAAGTTGCAACTTTCATGTCGGAATTTTTTGCTTCAAAATTGTAAATACATTGTAACTATTTCAATGACAGAAAAATAACGTTAATAAATTTCTGTTGTTCATATTTGCGATGGAAGAACTATAAGTTTCAATATTGCATCAAAATTACATAAGTGTACATAAGTGTTGTCCTGTACAATAATGATTTCTTCTGCTTTATTTTAGTTTAATTGATCAAAAAGGTTTAAGTTACACACAAATTAATCATAATAACACATTTTAACAGCAAAATAAAATTTTCAATTTTGCTGTTCATATTGCTTTAAGTAAACTATAATTTTAGACTTGCATTATTTTCCCAGAACTCTCTCTACCTTCAGCCTTCACTAAACAAAACAGAATGTATATTGTTTAAATAGTATCATGTTCTATTCTAAGAAAAACAACAGTTTAAACTTAAACTCTATTTTCCTTTTAATTAAAAATCTTCAATGAAATATTGCACATAAAAATCAGGTGTCCTGAGGACACTCTATCAGGTTATAAGTTATTGGTTACAGATAGTTTAATGTACATGTACTAAGTTTGCAACAGAGGGTGCCCTTAAAATTAAATGTTCTTTCGATCTAGGGCATAAATATTTATTGCGTGGACCCTGAGGTCCACGCAGTAAATATATAAGCGAGGTTAAACCGGATGCCATGGGCATACGTCAGGATACGCATGCGCAAGAATGCTGGAGAGTCATTTCGGGTCTTTCCGTGAGAGGTCGGAAAAACAACTTCCGCAAGCCGGAAAGGCGCGAGAATTTGCGATTGGGAGAGTTCCCCCCCTCCAATACGACAGCTTACCCGTAAAATAATTCACCCTATTCGAATTAGAATATACCATGTTCATCGGCAAATCTCGCTTTTAAACCTGCATATCGTATTTATTAATTTATTGGCGGATCCGAATTTCTTACTTATACATACACATTTATATAGAAACTAAACATCGATTCCGCGACAGATGCATTTTAAAAAGTATAGGAAGAACTTGCAGAATATAGAATAACACCTTGAATTAAGAACTTCATTCAACGAATAGTTTTAGGTTTTAAAAGATAGAATAAGTTTTCTTCGGCATTTGTTTTGAGCATCAAGCCTTGCAAAAATAAATATATCTACAGCAATCCAAATACAGCTTGAATACAGCTTGATACAGGCCTGTAGCAACGGTTTTCCATGTGTAGGAGGGCGGGGAGGGGGCTCTGAAAAAAAATCTACGTACTACAAAGCTGTGCTACACGTGTATCATCAGATATGTTTTTCCAATTATAGATTTCTTCTGAATAAATCCAGAACAGATGTAAAGTCCCAGCCGTTATGGGTTAATATAGCCCCATTTTTTAAAATGACAAAACTTTTTAGGCCAATCGGAGATAACATATAACAATTTTGCTATATTTTAGTACTATTGATTAGTCAGAGTAGGCAGATCATAATAGAAAATGTGAACGAACCTACATGAATATTCACTTAACCTAGAAATTGTCTTGAATTGAATTTCGTTTAGAAACACATGCATATGGTCCACGTATTGTAGTTTTTTTTAAAGGACAGCAACTTGTTTAGACTATTATCTTTCTAAACATTTTATCCTCAAATCATCGTTTTTAAGTTTAATTGTTATTTCACGGCAGACTTATTTATGACCCACTTTTGTACATGACGTGTAATTTGAAATACTTCCCTTTCTGTCGCCAGGATTACAACGACAGATTTTGGTGCTATATAACATTTGATAAACATGCACACAGTATATTGATATTGTCGAATTATCAAAATTTCGGTCTTGAAATGATGTCTGAAATATAAAAGTATTGGCTAACGCCTCGGATTTTATTTTTCAGACATTTCTCGACCTTGGATGTTATTCTGCAACATTCACGAGTACTTTATTTTACCCCCACTTGAAAGCGGGAGGGTATATAGTAATCGGGTTGTCCGAGCTCACTAAATGATACCCTCCACCTCCCATATGAATATAATGACAGTGTCCATGTTTTGCTATGGGATACCCCGAATATGTGTCGGATCAAAATGTAAAATAGGAGGTGCACAATGGCAAATTAACTACTAGTATTCAATTTTCTCATTAACCTGGTATCATCGTTTGAAGTACTTCATAAGTTGAGGATAGGGATTTTTTGAATGAAAAAAAAAAATCAGAATGTGCTAAATAAGCAATACATGTATATCTACAATCACACAATTAACTGAAAAAAGAAAAGGTACCAGCGCCTACTGATATGATATGAAATTATTTTTAATGGATCTCAGTTAAATAAAATGCAGGTAAATTTAAAATGCAATGTAAAACTTTGTTTTAAATTTCTACCGCACTTTTTATTGCATGCGACAAATCATGCACATATTTCCCTCCCGGATTATGCATGCACAATTCAGAGAACTTAGCAACATGTGTTTTCAATGAACTGCATGGTATATTTAACGACATTACCGAGATTTTATTTTACGTTTATCATAAATGTAAGTAAGAAAGTAACGCCAAATTAATTCTTTTCTAACGTAAAGTTAAATATCCTCATTTTGACGTTACCGAAAGTGACACCAACACTATGCGCAACCTCATTATGCAATAAAGATTCTCTGAAAGTCTCATCAAAGAATGTTTCCACTTAAGCATAGTGCCGTGGCCCCTTTTTCGGACCCCTCTAACTTTATCTAATTAACTCAAATGTTAATTCATTTCATAGATCGATTGAAAACATATAATATTTAGCCAGTTATAATTGCTTTTGGAATTTGATACAAAATACAAACTGTATACAGAAAAATAAACACAAAGAATTCTCAGAAATTTGGTAAAATTTTGGAGAGAACGAGGTATTTCAATAGTTTTATACCTCGACGACGGATTTGGATTTGCAGATAGTTATTCTAATTGTATGCAATCATCTAATTTTGTTCAAGATACCTTGTATAAGGCAGGTTTTATTGTTAATAAAGAAAAGTCATTATGGATGCCAGTTCAAACTTTAGATTGGTTAGGATTTAGATGGAATCTTGTACAGGATACCTTAGAATTAC